ATTCAGTCCACCAAAATCAATCATTTGCATTTTCCAAAAGCTGTAGGGATGAGAATATTGTGAAAAGATGGGGGATGAAAACAATTATAATCAGAGAATGCGAGGTGTTTCTGCACATCTGAGCAGAGGAACTGAGACATGTCAGTATAAGTAGTATAGGTGGTATCTATTATAACAGCTGCTGCCTTTTCAAGCACATCAGCAAGAGCAGTGGTTCCTCGTGTGTCTCCCATCCAACAGCATCACATCGCCTTTGGACATGCTGGAAATGTAGATTCTTGGGCCCCATCACAGACTAATTGATAGAAAACACTGAGTGAGGTCCAGAAATCTGTGTCCTAATAAGTCCCTAACAAGTTCAGGGAACTCTGACGCATGTTCAAGTCTGAGAACTGCTGGACTAGATTAGACCTCATATATAGATCTCTGGCAGCCATTCATCACTCAGTAAACATGAATGCCTACACTGTTCTGTCCTACAACCACCTGTTATGCTCCACCTGTGACCACCTCCATGACAATGCCCAGGCTGCAAAAAAGAAAAGATATAGGTGCCCATCTCACTTACAAAAAAGGTGATTTTTATTTTAGTTCAGTTTTGTGGCTCTCACTGATTGTTCCTTTCAAATCCAGACACACTAGTATATATTAAAATCTGTAAGTCTTGTGCTGTGCTAGTCATGGTGGAGGCTTTCAATGGAAAGATCAGATATGACCCCTGCCCTTGAGGAACTTACAATTTCATCTGGCCAAAACCACACTTGCAGGAAAGAAAGAATGCCATGATGTAAGGTGTGGATTAAGCACTCAATTCAGTGGTACTTAGAGTTTCTCCTTTCCTCTGTCTTGTCAAATGACTGTTTTACTCAAACATTTTGGCTTTGGCAAAATGTTCTCAAGAACATGTGAGGGAAATAAATATCACCCTTAGAAGCCTGCATTTTGGTGCAGGGTCTGTCTGTTTTGATCTTTATTCTGGGGATGGGGAAGATTTCTCCTGAAGGCTTTTTATCCTCCTTTTGGGGAATTCTTAGGTTGCATTGGCTCAAAGCTGATTTGAACGACACTTGCCTTATAATTTCTGAATTTGTGTAGGAGAATGGGTATGAAATTGAGAAAACATAAAAATTTTCAAAAGAGGGGAAAAAAGTGGCCTTTGACAACTATACCCTGGAGAAATTGACTTTGCTCTCATGCAAAATTTGCAGCATATATATTAAATAAGTGATTTGCAACTGCATGAAAGGGTCAGTGTTGATAACTGAGAGCTGGCATACATTAACGATGAACAAATTAAAAGGAAGAATTCTTTGCTTCCCCTCCCCCACCCCCAAACTTACTAGTTTTGTAGATTTGGGGGAACTGTGAACAAATTATTCTTATTATTTGAGCTTAGATAGAATAGTCAAATAGCCTCTCATATGTCTATGTGAGTAAGTTGGGAAAGTGTAGGTTACTGGTGGCTTCATCAAGTTGGTAACTGGCTGAGCAAGTAAACCCAGAGAACCCTCTAATGGGCAGCGTCAAGCCAGACAGAGCTCTCTGATACGCTGCCTCCAAAGATCCGCCTTTGGCCTTTTCCTACTTAATGTTTTCAGCACTGACTGGAGTAGAGGCATGGAGGGCACGACTACCCAGGTGATGACTGACAGAATGAGAGTCCAACAAGTTCACAAGAGGTTGGATGGTGACACGAGGTGATGAAGATAAAGTCAACAACCTGTGTGGTGTACTTGTGCTCTCACACAGAGGCGCAGATGTGCACACACACGCGCGCCTTTGCAGAAGTGCTAGACTGGGGACCCAGGGGTGACGGTGGCATATGTTAAAAAGCCCTACAGGTTCTGGATGACAATGTGCAGCAACATTCAACAGATTGATATGGTTGCCCAAAGCTGACGTGATTGATAAAACAACAGAGCCTGGAATAAATGCTATAAAATCCCTCTGCATGGCAAGGCTGGCAGGTCCTACTGGGGGATATTGTCTTCAGTTCTGGATGCCATGATTTACACGGGGCACCAATGAAAATTCCATCTTTTCTTGGTGCTGCTGGAAGTCCCTAAGATAAACAAAACGGAAACTTCTAGAAACGTGTCAATTCTAATTTCGCAGGATGACCAAGAAGTGGAGTTGAAAAGCTATTAAATGACACTAGAAGACACTTTTGAACTTCTAAATAGCATCTTTCCCTCACAGAGGATGGAAATGTAATAATCCTGAGAATAAAAAAGGCAAAAATTGCAGCATTTCATCAAAATACAAATGAGGTAAAAAATTTCTTCATAAAATTAAAGACAATATTCCAACGAAAATGACTTTTCAAAAGACTGAGTGGTAAAGTTTGCAGTAAGAGATTTTATGGGCTGCATTGTGTTTCCCCTGAAGTTCATATGTTGGGGCCCTAATCCTCGGGACCTCTATGACCATATTTGTTAGATAAGGTCTTTAAAGAGGACATTAAGTTAGAATGAGGTAATCAGGGTGAGCCTTAATCCAAGAGGACTGGTGTCCTTATAAGAAGAGGAAATCTGGATACAGATACAGGGAGATGATGTGAAGACACAGGGAGAAGACAGCCATCCGCAGTCCAAGGAGAGCCATCAAAACAGATCCTTCCCTCATGCTTTCAGAAGGAAACAACCATGTTGACACCTTGAATTTGGAACTCCAGCCTCCAGAACTGTGAGAAAATAAATTATGGTCATTCAAGCAGCAACCCTCACCCCCAGTCTGTGGTATTTTGTTACACAGCCTGAGCTGACTGACACAGAACTTCAGTGAAGGCTGAAGGTAGCAGCTGTCCTCTGGTGCCAGCATTTGTCACTCGCAGTGAGGATGGGCCTGAGAGTCATAACCCCTCCCCAGCACTTTACATTCCTTGTGTGGCCAGCCCCCAGGAATTTATTTATTTATTTTTAAGATTATTTATTTATTTGACACAGAGATAGAGAGATAAAGAGAGTGCACAAGTAGGCAGAGCAGCAAGCAGAGGGAGAAGGAGAAGCAGACTCCCCACTGAGCAGAGAGCCCAGCATGGGGCTTGATCCCAGGACCCTGCGATCATGACCTGAGCTGATGGCAAATGCTTAACCCGCTAAGCCACCCAGGAGCCCCTTGGGTTGGGTTCCTAAGGTCCTTGTCACTCTTCTACCAGCTTTCCAGCGACTTCCTGGTCTTCAGGGAATCTCAGCATGTCCCCCATTACTTGGGACATCTCCATTCCACACCTGACCGAAGTATGACCTCTTTACTTCTGATTCTTTATTAGTCAAGTCGTGTAGCAGTTTTGAGCTTGGACAAAGTCAGATTTATTCATCTTTTTCCTTATAACCTTTTTGGGAAGGACATAACCTTTCTGCGGTCAGGCTGCAGGGTTTCATTAGTGGCTGGAGGCCATCCATTCTGGGCAATGTCCCAGGTCAAGAGGCTTCGGGTTAGGCCGGCCTTGGGAAGGGAAACCAGTGCTCTGGCTCTTCAGTCAGAAGTCAGGGAGGCCTCTTGGGGAGGACTAGCAAAGGTAGGCAGGATGCGGAGGCTTTGCCTGCTGGCAGGGGGAATGAAAGAACAGTGGCTGTCTGGCAGCAAACAGCATGGCCTGAAGGAAGCCGCCTAGGGCAAGTGCCTGGTGCTCTGTTAATCAAGCTGTAGCTCACCACTGCTTCCCTCACCTAGAATTCTCTTGAGCCTCTCCTGCCTGAGGGACCCTGACATCAGCAAAGGCCCTTTGGAGTTGAATGAGGACCCAAGTGGGGGATACCAAGCAAAGGCCGGTGAGGGAGAGAAACTCCCAGCTCTGTTTAAGTTGTACGCAACCTAACAAAGTCCAGGGTATTTAATTCTGGCAATTTCTGAGTTTTAACATTCAATTATGAATGAAGCCCAGGGCAGATTAATTCCAGTCCCTCATTACCAGTAGTAGTTTCCCCCTGGGCAGGGAGGGTCTTTGTGGGGCCTGCTGTGAAGTCGACACACTTCTAGCTGGTTCAGTTTTATTTTCAGTGTCTCTTAGATGTGCCACTGCTGTGGGCACAATTCAGGCAACAGGATTTATTAATTATTTGGGTTCCCTCTCTAAGTGGACCCAAGCAGATCTCTACGAGATGGATAAAATATACAGCAGGAGCCACAAGGGTTGACAGAGAAGATTGTCTGTTTATTCAAAAGGGATAAAAAGAAATTCGAGAAGCAAGTGATGAAAAATAAAACTGCAAGTATCTGGCAGGCCAGACGTGGGAGGCAGGTGAGAGGTGGCTTAATTTGACTGTGCTAGATCCCAGCCCACGCTGACAGTGACATCGCGCAAGGGGGACCACTCCAGCCTCACCACTGTTTTGTGGGAATATCCAGCAGGACACCTGTTATTATTTAAGACTGGAATTAAAAGGGAGAAGTGGATGTCACAAGGGTATCCCAAATGGATTCAGGTTTATGATGATGTATGTTAAAGCAATGAACTTCCAGTCCCCCCTACTTCCTGGTTCTAGGAATAGTCAGCTAAGACTCCGATTGGAGGCAAAACTACATACTTAACCAACTTTTTCTTTTCTTATCATGATGTGGCTCATGACATCACTCGTTAAGTGTGTTTCAAGTGATTTTCTGTCTTTTATTGAAGGTAAGATGCCAACAGGAAGCTGGTAATGGTTAGGGTGTCCTGGGGCAAACATCCAGACCTCCATGCTTAACGAGGCCCAAGGAAAGAATGTGTGTGTATTATATAGTGTGTGTGTGTGCAATAAACCCTACCAAACTATTAAGCACAAACATTAAAGAAGACAACTTAAACATTCTTTTAATTAGAGATTTTACTCTCATCATTGGCCCTTATTATGTTTTCTTTCATTTTGCTCATTTCTCTCCTAGGCATAAGTAGATCTAGGCTTTCAAAATTATTTTATTATTTTATTATTTTTTGACTATTATAAAAGTGTATTTAACAAAAAAGTTCAATATGAAAATGCGGGCGACTTGATTTTTTTTTTTATTGTAGTAAAACAGGTACTATGGACAGGGGACATGTGGAAGCAGTTTTCTTCTTCTGATGAACATGCCCATTGTTTATACTCGTTCCAAGGCTTCTAGCATGATGATGCTATTCCCTTGTATTACCACCATTCCAATATTGTTCTGTTGCCTGCTAGTTGCCATCTCCACAAATTCATCTATCACAAGATTCATGAACGGATTGAACCCTTGCAATATTCCTTGGGCTTGTCTGCCACCATTTAATTTCAATGATAATTTCTTGTCCATAAATTTTTTCAACTCGGGAGGGTGAGCCTTGCTCATGGCGCTGAGTCGGCGAGCTCACAGAGGCCTCCAAAGGGCTCCCTCATGCTCCCCCTCAAAATTATTTTAGAATCAAAAGCTCTCAAGGCTTTACATATTGTTGAGATACCGTAGGGTTTTAGAGTACATTGTGTTAAAAACTCTTGCTTCCTTCCATAAGATCAACTCACTGAGCCTTAATCGAAGAGCTAAACATTCATTCATTCATTCATTCATTGACAGATATGGGCTAGGCACTGGGGAAAGGAGAGTGAACAAAATGAGACAGAGGCTGTTGTCACAGAGCTATGAGGCTCTGACTTTTAAGAGGGGAAAACGCACATCAGGCCCATAATCACACATAAAAATGCCAAATGACACTGTCTTCCTCTGGGAGTGATGCAGGCAGGAGAGTCAGCTTCCAGGTGGAGGGAACAGCACCTGCAAAAACTCTGAGCAGGGAGGAGTGGGCATAACTGCGGGTGGAACTACAGAAGGGGGCTTTGGGGCCATGTTTAGGGATTTGGGATTTGATTCCCAGGCCTGTGCGTTTTGCATTTGCATTTTGAAAAGAGCACTTGGTTGCAATGTTGGAGAACAGATGGGATTTGTGGAGGGGAGAGAGGAGAGAACAGTGGCCTATTTAAGTACATTTATGACTAAGACATATTATCTTGCCCTCCAGGGTGGTTAGCAGGGGAGACAAAAATTAAGATTTAAAATTTGTTTGGTTTGGAAAATAGAGGGGAAACAATTAGAGTTCTTTTAATTTATAGCCTCAAATAACTCTTATGTTTTCTCGTGTTTCCACGAAAGATAAAAATCCAAAGAGCTCTCAGCGGGAGTTTATGTGGGAAAGCCAGACTCCATTCCGAAATCACTAAACAGAATATTGTAAACTTACTTTTCTAGATTTCAAGTTCCTTAAATCTATGACATGACTTTGTTCTCATCAAGCCATCACAGAAGACATTTATGTAATCGGTTCATCCACATGAAGGTGTGAAGGGCTAACAGTGAGATCAGCTCTGTGAGGGCAGGGACCAGGGTCCCTCTTTCTATCCTCAGGACTGGTGTCCAGTACATAGTTATTAACATGAAATGAAACTAAGTTACTTGTCCCATATTGCTTGTGTTTTGAAATAATGTGTACAATAACATATAGGAAGAAATTTCTTTTTTTTTTTTTAAGATTCTATTTATTTATTCATGAGAGACACACAGAGAGAGGCAGAGGGAGAAGCAGGCTCCCTGTGAGGAGCCCAATGTGGGACTTGATCCCAGGATCCTGGGATCACGACCTGAACCAAAGGCAGACACTCAACCACTGAGCCACTGAGCCAGGTGCCCCTATTTCTTAGAAAGAAATTTCTAAGGGATGAATTTCAGACCATCTGGCATAAAGATCATGGAGATCATTTTAACGAATATGGTCTTCCTGATACTGATTAAGACAACAATGCCCAGGGGTTCACTTCTTCCCAGTATCCAATTTCCTATTGTCACCTCACAGCTCTCCCACCCCAACCCCAAAAAGGCATGAAGCAGATTTTCCTGCGTTGCTTATAAAACTCAATTGCACAGGGCCCTAGGCTTACGATTCAGGAATCTGGCAGCTATATGCTACACTGCGCAAAATACAGTTCGGACTAAAGATTTTGGGGAATAAAATAAAATAAAATAAATAAATAAAATTAAAAAATAATAAATAATAATAAATAATAATAAAATAAATAAAATAAAAGCACTTAGCATAAGGTTGCTTAGGACTACAAGAATTCAAACCCCTAACTGAGGTCTTTTGGTTGTAGGGTAATTAGCAGCATGACTCACAGATGGGAACACGTTCACCATTCTTTCTCAGAAAGCATTGTGTGGGAGGCCAGACATCAGGGCTCTTTTTTCCCTGGACCTATCCCTGATCCCACCGCAGAACACTCATCAGTACCAAGTCTCAGATTTGACTCTGGAATATTCTCATGTCCTGGGGTTAATCCCGCAAGTATCCCACAAAAGGTCTTTCCTGAGGTTAAATATGAGTCAATCTGGAGGGAGGAGGAGGTCCAATGCACAGCCCCTCTGATCAGGCTGGATAAGTAACAGTCACCCGAATAAAGCAGACTCTAGGTCTAGTCTGTTGGTGATCTGGTTTTCCCAAGATCAGCCAATATCCTTCTTCAGCTCTGGCATGAATCAGGTGGACCTCAGTGGTACAGCAACTAGTCAACCAACCAACGTTTTTATTTTTTAAAAGATTTTATTTATTTATTCATGAGAGACACAGACACAGACACACACACACACACACATATACAGAAGAGAGAGACAGAGAGAGAGGCAAAGACACAGGCAGAGGGAGAAGCAGGCTCCATGCAGGGAGCCGGACGGGGGACTCGATCCCGGGACTCCAGGATCACGTCCTGGGCTGAAGGTGGCACTAAACTGCTGAACCACCCAGGCTGCCCTCAACCAGGGTTTTTAGTCCATAAGATGCAAGAGTAGATCATTTTTTTTTTCTTTCTTTGAATCCAGTTGACATAAACTTTGTTCGGGAGTCAGACAGACTTAGACCACTTGCTACTTCATAGCTCTTTGTGTTTGGATAAGCAGAGAAAAGAGTCTTGTGTTTTTATTTGTCTTTCTTATCTAACTCTATTTTTCCTTGTCCCCAATGAACTGTGAAGTACTGTTAGTAGAAAAAAGTTATACGTGATGCATCTTATTAATAATTTGGCTGGACCAGGGCATGATTCTGGAGACCTGGGATCGAGTCCCACGTCGGGTTCCGTGCATGGAGCCTGCTTCTCCCTCTGCCTGTGTCTCTGCCTCTCTCTCTTGTTCTCTATCTGTGTGTGTGTGTGTGTGTATGTGTGTGTATCTTTCATGAATAAATAAATAAAATCTTTAAAAATAACAATAATAATTTGGCTGGAGATGACTACTTTTAATTTTTCTGGTTAATAAGTCATATTGAGTCAAAGTAAAAAACAAGACGGTGGCCCCCATCATCATGGTGGTGGTTTTCCAAGCAGATATTGGGTTATCCCACAGTGAAATGATCTCATGAGAACTAATTCTCAAAATTTATAAAAACAGGCAATACTTTATTCCTTGTAACTAGTCAACTTTGCCTGTGATGAGTTCTACAACTAATAAATTCTAGTAGCAAACTGTCTCCTCATTTTAATACCAGAAATGGTTTCGCTTATCTTCTCATTTTTCCTTCTTCTCCTTTACTCTCCACATCTTTTGCTCTGTTCTTATTTTGTCCAACTTGTACAGCTGTATGGAATCTCCCCTGATTATTTGGGTCACGGTGATTTTACTGCAGCAACAAGACAATTTCCTCCACTTCACAGAGTTATGAAAAAAAGACATGTCCCCATTCATTGGAATGAAAAGGACATCGGACTTTTATTTTTTTTAAATAAAGATTTTATTTATTTGACAGAGAGAGAGTGCACAAGCAGGGGGAGCAGTAGGCAGAGGGGGAAACAGGCTCCCCACTGAGCATGAAGCCCAATGTGGGGCTTGATCCCAGGACTTGGGGATCAGGACCTGAGCCGAAGGCGGACACTGCACCGACAGAGGTACCCAGGCACCTGGACATCGGACTTTGAAAAGAAACTACCACAAGTTTCTTAGGCTAAGTTGAACATTTTAACGTGGTCTTAAGATGCTGCCAACTTGACACCGTGTTTAGATTTTACACAAAACCTGACCAAAGGCTTGGCTCACTTGACTCTCCACGGTTCACCGTCACCCGGAGAGTAGGCCCAGCAGTCCTTGGGAGGAAGCCCCCATCTACCTCAGCCACGGCAGGTCCAGAGGAACCATGTTCTACGAGGATCAGAAAGGGAGGGCTGGCCAACAAAAAGGAATGAAGAAAGAAAAGCAAATTCAAGGGGAGGAACGCCTGGCCCCCAGTGGCCTTATTATATGAATAGACTGCAGATAACCCCATCTTTCTACCACAGTGGTTCATAAATTCTGTCATCTTGTTAGCACCGCCAGAGCCCTGACCTCACTTCCTCCATTAACGAGCTCACCCTATTTTGAGGGGAGATGCTTTATGAACACACAGCCCAGAAGCACCTCATAAACAGCTTGTCAGCCCTGTGGTTCTGGAGGTAACGAACTCCTGGCCAGGGAGGGTGGCGTCGGGGAGCAGCTGACCAGCAACCAGGCCGCACAGATGTGCCTGGCACAGTCATGGCCCAGGAGTGGCCGGACACACAGTGGAACGCCGTGTACCAAGAAAGGTGTCAGTGACAGACTGGTGGCCTTTCACACAATGACAAGGCTTCTTTATATCTGCCGTGGAGCTGTCTCTGTCCTGTGAGACACAGGCAGCCAGAGCACAGGAGTCAGGCTCCGTGGCCTGCTACTGAAAGAGCCAATTTATGCACTGCCCCCCGCCCCCCACCAACTCTGGCATTTCATTTTTGTCTTTGAGAGCTATTGGAAGACTCCTTCCATCTCACCACCATCCACCTGGCTCTCTTATCTCAGGCTAGAGGAGGAAAACAGCCTTGAGTTCTCAGTGACCCGGGATGCATTAAATGGTCAAAAGTTGCCTTCTGCTTCTAGGAGATCAAGTTTGCCTAGAGTCCCCAGTAGGGCCCTGGAAAGGAATCTCAACACCATAAAGGCAAGGAGAAGTCCCCGCAGTCAGCTTCTGCACCATGCAAGCTCCAGAAAGTTACTTCTGCTGACAAGCCTGGGTTTGAGCATCTTGAGACACACCACATCATATTATACATAAAAGCAAGGCACCTCGAATGCCCAAGAGGACCTTAGATGTCATTCACAAGGTGTCTCCTCTCCCACTCCAGTGAGATACTTTAGCCCTATGGATTTACGCTCGCTTGGTGGACCCAAGGTGGGGGGACGATGCACAAAGTGTTCAGTGCTTGTATGGGCACCTTCAACACACAATGAAAACAGCTCAGTGGCCTGGACGCAGTGCCCTTTCTTTCCTGTAACGGTGGCACCGGAAGCCTTCACAGCACACACCATAATCAGAGCCCTCCCGCACCCAGGGGATG